TCATACGACAGTCGACATTCCTCCTTTTAGGGAAGACGGAGCTTCTTGGAAGAGTTGTCATAAACTACAATTTTATACTCATAATATTGTAACTTTATTCTGTTAAGTGTTGCGACTTTATTCTCATTTTATGTCATTATTCTTCTAATTTTGCAAATTCATTCTCATAATATCAGGTCTTTATTCTGATAATGTTTTATAGTATTCTCGTAATATTATGAATTTATCCTCGTATTTAAAAAAAATAATTAAATCTCTAGCCTGGCCCGAATACTCGCAGAAACTCGAAGTTTCCATATGACAATGACTCCAGAACTTAGGTGTTTGTATGTTTCCTGTTTCCAGCTATGGATACCCAGATCCGGATTACCTCAACCGCGTCAGAGAAGAACTGAAAGCCAAAGGAATCAAATAGGCGTCTTTTCAAGACCTCTAAATAAATGAGAGCAAAGCTAAGAGTTAACATGTAGTTATAGGAGTTTCAGCTCATTTACTACAATCATTGTTTGATCACATCTTGGCATTACGTTTCCTGTTTAATTCAGTGTAATTTTGTGTCTTTTTGGAGTCACCTTTGCTGATTAAGTTATGTATGTTTGTCATAAACTGTACGTTCATGTAAGTTTACATCAATAAATGAAATGTAATCAGTAGGCAGTTTGAAAACGCCTGGAGAAAAACATTTTTCACACTAAAGTCTGTTTAAACTTAAGCAATAAGAGAAACAGAAATGTTAGATGAGCGTCCCTGCAGCTCCATTAGATTAGTGATGATTTTTATCATAAACCTCCAACCTTCTCTGCTAATCCTGAAGAGCATTAAATATTAATCAACTTTAATCATTCATAGAAAATGAATGAAGGCCAGTTGAGAAACGACATAATAGAACCACTTTGGTCTGAACAGTTTTTAACTGTTAGAATGTGATTGAAAAAGGGAAGAGCATTTTTAAACACAACATGTCCCTGTTTATAAATGATGCGTTGAAGGACCAATGATGCTCCACTGTGAGCATAGCATTCCTTTCATCTTCTTCCTCATTTAGATCTAAAACTGTCCAGTTTTGTTGCTGTTGATCTTTGCTTTGGTTCAAACCTGGAGCTCTCCATTATTCACCATCTGCCTGCTGTCTCCCGGTCCAGCTGCTGGTCCTTCTGATAGTTGCCTCATCAGGAACCAGGAGGCAGCCATTGTTGTTGTCATAGTGAAACGTCACTATGATAAAAAACATACAAATTTTAAACAAACATACCCACTCAAATCACTAATTATTTCAGTTTTTTTCTTCTTTTTTTTTTTCAAAAATCATTCAGTTGAGAGCATGCGGTGTTCATGTTTTGTTTACAATACATCCCATCTTCACTCAGTAAATGTAAGAACATCAGAAATTAGATATGGATGTTAAGCCATATATATATATATATATATATATATGGCTGCAACTAACAATTATTTTCCAAATCGATTAATCTGTTTATTATTTTGTTAATTAATCAATTAATTAATCAATTAATAATTGGATAGTATAGGGTTCCTAAAAGAAGATTTTTTTTAATGAAATTAAACCAGGTAAAAAAACTTTCCATTTTGAGTTATTCAGAATAGAGCATATTAACATTTTTTTAATCTTAAATAAAAAATGTTTTATAATTTTGGTATAATTCCTGCTCCAAGTGGGTCGTTCTGTCAGCTAAAGGCACATTTTAGAGTCTCTAAACTCCAGTTAATGATTCATTGATTACTAAATTAGTTGACTATTATTTCACTAATGGATTAATCAGATTGTTTCAGATAGATAGATAGATGTTGGAGATTCTTCCTCCCAAATGAAGGTTTATTAGCAAAGCCTAAATTGTTCAGGTTTATCAGAGGCTCTGAGATACAAATCTATTTATTTTAACAAATGTTAAAATAAACCTTTTCTACTGTGAAGCATGAGTCCAAACTGTTTAAAATCAATGCATCTCATGAAGAATCATTTGTCTGTTTGTTATATTGGCTGAATAATTATGTCAAAAGCACTTTAATAAAACCATTTAATTCAGAGTCCTGCTGTGATTTGGATTATTTTTCATTTAGATCCGGTCAGCTGATGGGACTCCTAAACTGTTTATATAATAGTCGATCTATACCATACCTATACTACTTGTCAGAGGGGGGTGGGGGGTTGAATCTCCTCTCCTTGGTGGAAAATTTTCTGAATTTTAGCCATGAATTTCCTTTACTATAGAAATGCTTTCAGTTCTCCAACCTGCTGATCAACACAATGAGTGAGGTGGTTTAAAACCAGAACCAGGTGGTTATTTGTAGTAAAAAGGTTCTGCAAAGGAGCCCAGCTAAACCCAACAGTTCCTGAAGGTTCTTCATTTAACATTTGAGTTTCTGACAATAAACTAGGGCTGAACCATTTTGCCAAGAACCTGATTTTTATTTAGATTTTCCTTTGGACTAACCCCTCAGCTTGTAAATGCTTCATTGATTAAAAATCAGAACCTCTGCAATTTGAAAATTGTGTTTTGTAAATAGTTGCCAGAGGATTTGGTCTGATCTTTATATTGGAGAAACCAAACAACCTCTCCACAGATGCATGGCCCAACACAGGAGAACGCCCTGCGGTAAGTTCTAGATGTACTCTGCGGTACATCTACACCTTATGGA